ATTTTGGTGGCGAATGTCGACTCTCTGTCTATCATACGAGCTTTGTAGCCTGCAGCACCTGCAGTTCAGAAAGCAGACTGATTTTAAGCAATCATTTTAGATTGCCATGAGTATTACCTAAATCATTCCAACTTTGAGGAGACCACTTAATCTTAGAAGAGAGACAGAAGAGGAAATAAGAAACCAAGAACTGGGAAAAGGATTCCTGAGGATTGAGTAGATAAAATGAGATTGTCATCAACGAATTTTAATATTACAAGGATCCATATTTCAAGATAGCACAGTTTCAAGCTTATAATAACCAAAGCCTATTTTGAAATTCTTGTTTTCTATTTCAAATGAAACAAAAATTCTATACCTTAGGCGTTTTTCTTCCACCAGAGAAAAGAATAATGCGACAGCAAAGAGCAGTACATAGCAGTTCTGCTCAAAGACACCGATCATGGAAAACTAAACTTGCTTGGAAAACCCATCGAAGTTGATTGAAACGTTACAATATTTGATATTTTCCTATCATTACAGGGACCTGTCTTTGTTTACTTTCTGGAAAATTCAATGCCTTCGCAGGTAATAACCGTGATAAAAGAACATTGTTGTTATGCTAATTTCACGGCAGAACAGCAACGGCGCATCTTGTATAACCCAGTATCACTTAATCTTTTGTTTTGCCTCACGTAAGAGCTTTTTGATCCCAAATTTGCTACGGAAACCGAGTTCATTCCAGCACGTAGCGCTTAAAATCATTCTCCACCTGACAGAGAAAAATATGAACGTTAGAATGCAAGTCAGTCGAGAAGTCAGCGATCAGGACTATTTACCGGATAACGAAAGCTCTGGCGATGAATCTGAAGGGGCGAGTGTGAAAAATGAAGATGAGAAACTCAAACGTGGAAATACGGAATTGTCGAGGAATTTGGACAACGAGTGTGTGTTTGACAAAGATTGGGCTTTCAGGAGAAAGTGTAGCCTACAGTCGCTGCTATCCGCAAAACTTTTAAATCTGACCTATGAGACCAAGAGCTTGGAATTACCAATCAAGAGTCAACAACACAAAGACGGGTCTCTCAATAAAAATCATTCAAGTAACACTGAGAAAAACTGCGAACCTTCTAGTACACACAAAAGTAAGAAACTGTTAATACATGGAGCACGGCGAAGAGAAAAATCTGAAGTTTCACTTTGAAAGAACTGATTGCTTCCGTATCAGCGCTTCGATTACAAAGCTTTCTGTCTAAAAAAGGCAGAGGAATAACTTGTTATCTGGTGTTGCGTGACTATGTTAAAATTACGGTGCGGCCTTGATCTAAAACTGGAACACAGCGAAACAGCCACTTCAGTCTCCAGAAATTCTTCAGTTGGGTAGATAAAATCGTCTGCAAGGAGTTGTATAAAGAGGTTAATGGTTGTGCGTCAGCAAAAGAACCGATAATACGTCACCTCAGACGGTAACGTCATCTTCAGTGTACTTAATAAGTGACGCTAGGATTACAATATACCAACAAATTCCTCAATATTAGCATTTGCTTCTTCGGACAGTCAAACAACAAATTCATACAATCTGAAGGGCAAAATACACTAGTACACCTCTTACACCTTATGCCTGGTACGCATATTCTCTAAACTGTTCCCCATACATTGCCTAAGTGCTGACAAGGAGAATTTGTTTGGCAATCAGGAGTTTCTTTAGTTAGTTATAATTTCCTTTACTCTTGCGAGCTTAATGTTTCATTCATGGGTGAAATTGTCAGGAGAAATTAAAGGCTAAAATGGATGTTAGAAATGTGGTGGTCCAAATTAGTCAACATAATAATTCAGACTTCTAGCTATGACATGGCAAAAATGGCATTTAAAAATATTATACTTTTTAATATTCAACAAATTTTGCATAATATCTATAAAATGTTATTGTAATATTGATAATATACTTTTCCATGTTCACTGTGTGAAAAACAAGAGGGCACCTCTTAATACTATGTTCAAATTTTGTAAATGGAATAAATCAAAATCATACAGTAATATAATTCTTTATATCAAGAATAAATGGTAAATGGTATCCAAAACATTTATTGTATTGTGAGCAAATGATTGTTTTAGTCAAGCATAGAAGCATGAAATATCAAAAGCAGTGGCGGATCCAGGGGAAGGGTCTGGGGGGTCTGGACCCCCCCCATCAGGCCTGATGCTTACAACTTTGAGACTGAAATTCTTACATCGACAGGATCGTATATCACTTTTTAACTGGCTGATTTTTTTAATGAATCCAAGTAAATGGGAAGCGGCCAAGGAATTACGACGTGCAACTGCAACTGGTGGGAGGGGGTGTGGGGGGTGTGGGCGAGAAGTAATTTGCCTCAAAAGAGTCCAGCAGTCCCTTCTGAACCTAAGTTTGGACCCCCCCCCAATCAAAAATTCCTGTATCTGCCTCTGAAAAGATGTTATTTGTCTTGTCTAGAGTGCAGAATAACAATAAAATCAGAGTCCCCTAGAGGAATTGAAACCAAATCTCTTGATATTTGACACTCCAATGTTCTACAACTGTGCAACAGAAAACTCCATCTAATCCATTGCTTGTCTAATTATATGCAAAATTGCATCTTACAAAGGCTCCAGTCTTCATTGGGAATGTTTTTTTTTTGGTCTGGTTAGTTGAGAGAGACACTAGTGTTTTACAGACCAATGAATGAATGAATGAATGAATAACTTTATTAAGGTGTCAATCATTCTAGTTTTTACAAGTAAAAACTAATTGGGGACACCTACTACTTAGACTAAACTAATAATTATAATAAAAATTAGAAGAAAAACTATATTACAAAAAATATAAAATTGATAAAATTAAGTTTTACATAACTCACAATTTTCACAATTATTTTTCGATATTACATTTGATAGGTCAAGGACTCTGACTTGATTTTGAAATGCAGTTAGAGAGTCAGCCATTTTGATTGATTTGCGGAGCTTCGACCAAATATAAGGTCCCATGTACCTTAAGCTACATCTTCCGTATGTAACCATGTTGTATCTTGGTAAGGAGTTATCGTCTGCATTCCTAAGATTGTACCTACTTATGCCGCAACTAAAAAGTTCAGAAATATATGGTGGGACTAAATTAGTCTTAACTTTATACATAAATATAGCCATGTCCTGGAGTCTGCGATTACATAACGTTGGAAGTCTTGCTTTATCTTGAAGTGCTTAAAAAATCAAGGACTTTCAAGGACCCAAAATGAAATTCAAGTACTTTCAAGGCCTTGAAATCGGCCTCCTGAAATTCAAGGGTTTTCAAGGGTTTTCAAGAAGGGTACGAACCCTGTTAAAAGAAAACCACAATTTACATCCTTTGCAAGCCTTCAGCTACAATCAAAATCTGCCATTTTGTTTATATGCATGCTCTTATCATGCCTGAAAATTATAAAAAGATGTACAAGCTCAACACAGTACTGTGGGATTACATTAAAAAAAAAAGGCTTTATCACCTATCAAAGCTTTAAGGAGCACCTCAGTTCCTAATGCAATGAAATACTGTCTGAACTATGCAGACCTGTATTATTGTTAGATTGTTAGTTGCATTTGTTATTAGTTCATGTGCATGTGTCTGCCACTTATATAAAGCCCAGTAATTTATGCATTTGAGGTTCATAGTTTCATGGTTTCAAGTTGTAACTGCTCCCTGCATGTTTGGGGAGTGACTTAAATAAATAATTAACCTAAACCCTCTTGTTATACCTAAATTTCCAGCTTTCAACATGTCCTTTAACCGTTACACCCTACCATCAGTATGAATATTCTCCATACTGTTCTCTGTACATTTTATAACATGCTAACAAGGAGAATTTGTTTAACAATCAAGAGCTTCTTCAGTACGTGATCATTTCCTTTATTCTCCTGACCTTAATGTTTGATTCAGGGAATGATGACATGTTTTCCCAGATTGCTTTGCGACACTGAGAGAAGTGAGAGGAGAAAATTTTCCTCCCTTCATGCTTAGTATCAACTAAACAATTTTGGATTTTTCCTTTGCATTTGCTTAACTTAACATCCCTCAGTTGTCTACTGTCGATAAAACAGATTGAGAGTCATTACAACAACCAATCTATATCAAATAGAATTTGTCTATGCTCTACAGGCCTCTAAGTTTATCTAATTTTTTCAACAACCAATTACTTAGAAAATCATTCATGCTTCTATTGGAGAGAACAGTTCACTTAATTAGCAGCTTTGGAGTCGAGCTCCGTAGCGGTGGTACTCAGCCACATTGTATGAGCAATGATTGCAAATAGTCTATGCTCATCTTCGCCGTTGAAAAAAAAAAAGCTCTGCATGTTTCAAGTTCCTTTCCACGTTGTTCTCATTAGAATTAATGGAATAGTAAGTTTTCTCTTTATACCTACTAGCATAAGTTCAGCCTCCACCTCTGAATCGATGCTCAGTTCTTTAGGTGAGTTTGCAACATGCATTCGGCAACATCTGAAGCTTCACTTCGGTCAATCACAATGGAAAGTCGTCAGCACCTCATCTTTGAGGGTTTTACGAATTGAATGTCACTGTCCCATCGCTGGGTACAGTCTCTGGCTTATAACCAATTCTCTCGTGAACTTTTGCAATTCTCTTTGGATCATTGTACGCCATAGGAGAATCGTCAAGCAAGCTTTCCAGTTTAGAATCATCTCCCCCTTTCTGTTCTGTATTCTTTGTCCACATCTTTTTTGCTTTTTCATACTCTTCTACATCCTCTCCTCTCAGTTCTATTCTAGTGGGCTTTCTTCGTAGCATAATTATCGAACAATTTCGACTATTTCAATCAAATTCACAGATTAAAATCTAGTTTCGCTCGTTCTCCGGCTGGACATAAAGTGGCCCGCAAATTGGTCATAAAGTGGGGAAAGAAAAATGGCGGGAAGGTTTTTGTAGAGCCTACAATCTCAATCATAAGCAGTGTTCGCCAAGGGGTATATACGTGATGTATGCTATCACTTAGTGTCAGGTAAAATAATTTTCGAAATGGCGGCGTTCGAGAGGCAAAAAGGGGCATGCTTGTCGCAAGTTGATCTTAGTAAGAAGGGGAGCATAGATGACCGAATCATGGAATTAATACAGTACATTAATGCTAAAGAAAACTTTTTCACCACAAGTTCTTGTTCTGGGAGGATATCCCTTTTTTCAGAGGTGAGCCAGAAACACAATTAATAAAAACAACTTTAGAATTACATATCTTTTACTTTTTTTTTTTTATTAATCGTCGTAATCAGCTTTTTGTGCACACCATTGATCTATCTTATGTTCTTTAGCTGGAAAATCAGAAGAAAAAACAATGCGAGTGGCTGTATGTTACTCATGATGCAGCTGTAAAAGAAGAAGTTGTAAGTATTTACATGCATTTGTTAAGTCACCATGACAAAGATCAGTTACTAGGTCATAGACCATAAGAAAGTGTAGAATATGACCTTTGATCAGAAGCAGTTCATATTTGACAATTTCCAGTAATGATGTGACATGTAAACTGTAGACGAGTGGTTATTGCGAACAATGTATACAATAGCCCATTTGCGAATTACCCTTGGCCTCATTTTCAAAACGAGTCCTCGTACTAATCCTTTCAAATGATAATAAGTTTCCATTCACATGCAAATTAAACTCATTTTCACAAGAATGGTTGAACATGAGGACTCGTTTTGAGAATGAGGCCAAGGGTAATTCGCAAAATATGGGCTATTACGTTTAGCTTGAATTGTGAATTGTATGATTTTGCTTCTTCTTGATATTGCCTTGTAACAAAAAACATCAGATGTCCCAAGGAGAGGGGTTAACAGGGGGTTTCCATATACACTCAATCTTAACGTAGTCATTCAAGATAGGTTTGTCTCACTTTCTCTAATTACCAAGAGTTCCTCTATGATTATCCTTTCTAATGAGTTAATAAGAGATTTTGTACAGAAAGCTTTCAATGGAGCATGTTTCAATCTACAATGTTATATTTTGAAACTAGATCAATTCCTTGAAGGACTGTAAAGGAAGTGCTGTGTTCAAGTTTGAACCATTTGTTTTACATGTTCAGTGCAGAGATCTTGAATGTGGACAACAAATGGTAAGTAACTGAATTGATTATATGACAAATACTGTTTCAAGCTATTGATCCGCTGCATTGATTGGCCTTCTTGAAGGGTGTAGTGTAGCAGCATTGACCTTTATGTCACATGACCTTTGCAAACATCTGTTTTTAAGAATCTGCCATCTTGTTAATAGAATTATTGTGTTCCTGGAGTCTCGTGTGTTTTCTTCTCTTGTGAAGCTACTACAAAGGGTTCCAGAAGTCATCCATTTTCAACCCTTGTAAGCTAATTGGAAAATGTATGGGCAAGGCAGAGACAGATCCAAGGGGATAGTCCAGGGGGTTTCCACCCCCTCTTCTAATAGACCTGTGGGATTTTTTTACTTCTTCTCTCATGCCAATTCCTGACTATGACAGGATGGCATATTACTTACCCTTTAACTCCCAAATCTCATTAGTAGGTCTCTTGTAATTCTTCTTATCATATAGCTGTGTCTCACAAGGACTGGGAACTACTGAATTCACTGATTTGATTGGCTGAAATCAATATTGAAAGTGGTCTAGATTTTCCCATCTAGACCAGCATCTAGACCAGTCTAGAAAAAAGGTACAAAGAATATGAAAAATTGGCATATAAGACACAGCCATATAATAAACATCTTATTAACCAAGCTAGGTCGGTCTGTATGGTAGAGTCTTGACCTCGGTCGCTGCTACAGACCTCACTGCGTTCAGTCTGTACTGGCGACCCCGGTCAAGATTCTCCCAACAGACCTCCCGCTCGGTTAATAAGAACTAATTACAATTTACTTAATATACAATTCCTACAATATTAGCTCAGAGAGTTTGTTATCTGATCAACCAATTATCTCCTAATTGATCTTTCTCTCCATACTTTATACTTGTCCAGTTGACATTGTTTTTTTATTGTTTTCATAAAGGGGGGGGAGCACAACTGTGATGTTGGACAGAGAAGTGAGTGGACATTTTCTGAAACTGTTAATTTTTTTAATGTGACAATCACTGTTTATTGTGTTGTTTCTTTCATTTCTAGCTCAAAGCAGCACTAACATCTGGCTTTAAAAATTCTGGAATTGTCATTGGCAGGAAGGCCAATGTGATTGTGGTAGGTGTCATTCATAGTGAGGTTTTGGATAGTTCTCTAATGCTACTTATTATAAGTTCCAAAGATTTCTTTCTGAATGCAGGAAATGTTCAACAAATGGTAACAAAACAAAAGAAAAAATACTTGTGAAATTTGCAAAATTAATGTATATTCCAGACTTAAATAAAATTCTAGGAGTATAGGCATCACTTTAAAGCATTTTCAGGTTAGTGGATGTAATGGTGGACAAGGGCTAGTGTAATGCGTTTTGAACTCGCCTCATGTAACCATCTACCGATTTGAAGACAAAAATTGCAAAAAGGCCCTTCCTGTAGACTGAACATGATATGAAATGATAGATAACCAATCAAAATATACAGTCTCTAGTCCTAGCCAAGTAAATCCCTGAACTAGACTCAAAATATTGATTTTAGTAATTTAACTCTTAAAACTCTTGACTACTTTCTCTCAGGGTAGGAATATCTCAGGCTTAAACCTTTAAACCCTAAAAGAGTCTGTTTTCTAATTTCTCCTTACAATATCACCCTTAAATCAAATGTATAGGTAATGAGAATAAAGGAAACAATCACCAATTTAAGAAGCTCTTGATTGTCAAACAAATTCTCCTTTTTAGTACCAGAGGAAGTGTAAAGAAAACAGTGTGGGGAATATGAATTCTAATTTTAGGATGGAAAGGATTAAAAAAATAGGTAAACAACAAATCAGAATATTAATTTTTTTCTAGGCCTGTTTTGGTCTATATTGTTCCTTTATACGTTTACTTTTTATTTTTCTCACTGTACACAGTTAAAGTTGGTATTTAGTGCAAACTTTTACTAGAGCACATCAAATTTTGCTCATGTTTATTTTTTGTACCAGGCAGTAAGAAGTACACAGACCATAGAAGTGCCACTTGTTCATGTGGGAGAACTAATGGTCTCTCATAAGGTAACCTAGCAAAATCTTTCCTTACAAATCTGCTTCAAATTGAAATTTTATGATCATTATGGTAAAGTGATAGAAGTAGAGCAATAAGTGTAAGGAAATAAAAATAAGGATTTTTAATGAAGTTTTACATGAAATTGAGGTTCCAATCCTCCTGTTTTGGCTAAAAAAACATTGTTTTTGAAGATCGTTTCTGATCTTTGGTTTGTACTTGATATTCTCCAGCTTTTTGTAATTTTCCTCTGGCAAAGGAGGGAAGATAAAGGTTTCTCTGCTTCACCATGATCCTTTCTCTTTTTTTCTGGCATCCAAACATGGGTCCATGATATTTTGGGTAGGATAATGCACTGGATCCAAGAGACACCATTAACAAAAATGTTATAGGAGCCTATTGACTCAAAATGCAGGAAATAGCATCTGAGATGCCCACCTGCATATTTTAAAAAGGTTTCAGAAAGGAGCATTATCATACCTCAAACCCTCCCAAGACCTTTTGATTTCAGTAGGTTGGAATCTCTGCCTGAAATAAACTATGATAACTTGAAAAAACCCTCCATGTAGTGCAAGTGAGGTTTAAATTATGCATTGAAATAGTTCTTACTTTCCTGAGGTAGTACAAATATTTGATTTTTATTATTGAATCAATTTAATTGTTATTTTGATAACTCTTGATGTTGACTTTCTTGGCAATCGAGTATGTAGAGTTCCTGGTGGATATTGCAAACAAGAAACTTGATGATAATCAAACAAGAATAGACAGGTACACCCTCTTTAACAAACACTGATGGTATTGTTTCTGCCTCAAGAATCATAGTCTTTTGTGTCAAGTGTGTACAAACTTAGCTGGTCAAATTTTGTGGTCAAATGTGGTTAAAAGTTAACAATGAAGGCTGCCATTTTGAAAACAAATCTGTAACTTGGTCACACAGTCATGTAAAACCACAAAGAATTATTCATGAGAAGAGATGCTTCCCTGGCTCTCATGAAAAGTTATATCTGAGTCGATTCCACCATTAAACTGATGGTAGTTGTGGTTTAATGGAATGTTGAGAAAGAGATTTATTAATGGTAGCGTGATATTTCAATATGTAACCAAAGTCACACAAATTTATTAATTTATTAAGTCACACAAATCCATTAACTAAAGTTGATAAATATCCACATGTCCATGATACTGAAAATGAGTGGGTAAAATACATGTAAGAGAACAAAAACTTGCACAAAAGCCTTATAATAAGGAAAAAGATACATTTTAACAGTGCATGGACTTGTATAGGCATTAAAAAACAAAGACGTTGCTTATCAAAAGTAAACATAAACATTGATCCACAAGACTACATTTAGACAAAAAAACTTGACAAAGTACTCTAAATAAATTGTCACATTACACAACCATATGAACACAACAACCATGCGCACATAGTTACACAACTAATGATGTGTACAACACTCACAGCTAACATGTAAATTAACATGTAAATGTGGTACAGACTTGAGAATGTTTTGACTGCTAAGATTTACTAGCATCTAATTTCTCCTTACTTTAATTATCACCCGAGTCACTTCATGCGAAGAAAGGTGATTATCACCAACTAAAGGTCTTGATTGTTTGGCAAATTCTCCGTGTCAGTACCTTGGGCAATGTACGAAGAATGTTACGGAGAATATGCACTGTGATGTTAAGGTGTAGAAAGTTATTAATAATGGTAATTGAACTGAGTGGAGTGCAATTTAGGCTGAAATCATATGCGTGATTTCAAAATCAAACGAGCATGCAGTGCGAGTTCGATTTGAAATCACAAGTATGATTTCAGACCAAAATTGCACAACATGAGGTTCAATTACCACTTTATTACATCCATTTTGATATCGCCCAAATACAGGACTTGGTCAATTCAAATATTTTACTGATTCAGGACTGAGCCGGTTTTTAAATAAACAGCAGAACCGGAAACGCTTTTACATCTTATGTTGTATGCAAAACAGAAAGACTTTGACGTCATATGTCAAAAACTCAGTCAAGCGTAAAATGATGCGACTTAAAGCAAAAAATGGTGGGATTTGTGAATAAATTGCACCAATTAGAGCCAATCAGATTACAGGGACCACCAGTGATTTCAAAATGGATGTAATAAATCACTATAATGTTAGGAAGTGGCTGGGAGTTTGAATCAGTGACATTTTGATAGAAGTGACTATCAATGAAAGGTGTCATGTTTTTGTAAAGTTATATTTAATCCGTCAATTACTTTAATGCTGATATGAGCAAAAATGGTCATCATTTTATGTAAAATAATATAATGATTTCAGATTTTTCACCAACCTCAGTGACATATTACATAATCACAGCAGCAGTGACAGCACATCTCAGAAAACAGGTACTTGCAATTTGATTTTCACATAACTGTCCCAACATCTCACAAAATAGAGATTGTTGGCTTTTGAGTTCCAACCCTTTCTTTTTTATTTTAGGAAAATTTGCTGGTGCATATCTAGTCACATTGTGGATGGAATCATTCATTTACATTTACAGTTCTTACTCTTTCTTGCAGTTAGCCAATAGCTTAAACATGCTTGTACTTTTGATTTCAGGCCCAAAACAAACTGCTGAGACTAGAAAAGATGATTTGTCTACAAAAGGGACAAGAACTTCCCAGAAATCAAATGCTGATGACTTTGTACTTTTCAATGGCAATGACATGCTAGACTGCTTGTCCTCTTTCTATGGGGAGGTGTCATGATCATTGTTATTCAAGTCAGCTTTCAGTAACCATGTGCAGTCAAGTCCAAATCAAAGAAGAGTAACTTCTCGCCATTCCCGTGGCGAATGAATTAAATTCTATATTCTAAAATTCTCATTAGACAGTGTAATCAGAAGGGGGAAAAAATGGCTCACACCTCTTCATTTTATAAATAATAAGGGAAAATGTTGTTTTTCATCAGAATATGGCAGTTGTTGGAGATTTTTCCTGCAGTATTGTTTAATTCCTAATTGAGAGTTGTTACGGTGAAAAGGACAAGTGAGGGCCAGTTGCTGCAGGTTTCAGTCAACTGTAAACACGTTAATTTGATTGACTGGTCATTGGTAAAATGACCAATCTTAATAGAGATAGAAAAAAGTGGACATGGAGAAAAAGCCAGAGTTTAAGTTTCCTCATGCCTGATTAGCTCTTTCCTTGAAGCACAAACCATTCACTGCTTTCCGAGTTTCAATGTGAATATTATATCCATGGTAGAAGTTCTTTCAAGCTCTGAAGCCAGTTGACTGCCTGTCACGAGTCTTTTAGAGGTCCAGCCATCTGCAGGGGCCTTTTCATTTCCAAAGAGTACTGCTCCTACTCTGGAAGTTCATCCCTAATATCTAAGCACACTAGTACACATATTAACCCCAAGTGGAGAGGGTCTCTTGACTAACTGACTGCCACAAATACCTGGTTAGGTGAAACCGAGACAGAATTCAATAATATTTTGTTTATTTAAACTGTTCTCAAATTACTATTTAGTATGATACCAGCAGAGGCAGCGCATCAGCATTTGACACGAAACATCATTCTATTATAATTTAAACACATTCTGTTGCAATCGTAACATACAACACTAAGATTTAACCATTTCCATATAGAAAAGTAAACTGTTTGCATTCAAACTCCAGAAACATAATATCTCCACTATACTTCTATGATTATCAAATTATATTAGACATAACCACTATGCAAAATAAGGAAACAAAAGTATGTACTTGGTGTATAAAACAATTTGGAGTAGCAATAACAGGTTCTCCCAAGAAAAAATTGAAAAAATAAAGTTTACGAATACTGAATGATGATAATTCAATAATGGAGTTGTCAACTTTAATACTCCTTAAGTAAACCTACCACTACTGAAATTAACGAAGCAGCCAAGGCATAAGGAAGTCATTTCTGAAATCATGTTCACGACTGTCATTCTTGATACTCTTTCCAAGTATGAGCATTTTTTTTGGCCATGATTACAAAGCATAGCTTTTGTGGAATTTTTTTTATTTTTTTGACACGTAACCAGTTACTTTCCTATTCCTGTATAGCATATTAACAAGAAGAAATATTTCACATCTAAGGTGCTTTGAAATATAGCACCTGTTTTCCGCTGATAATTTCATCCACTTTCATCTTACCTACAGTGCACTAATGCATATGTAAGAAAAAACAGAGGGGTAGGTAGACATTACTAATTTGCTGCTTGATGCAATGCATTGTGAGAAACAAGCTTTAAATGAGTGACCTTCATTTTTTGTAGTTTTGATTCTTTTTTACTTTTTACGAGTTAGTTCTTTTTGTTTTATTTTTTATTTTGTTTTATTCCTTTTTGCAATTTTTTTAAAATATTTTTTTTTGAGTTTCTAAGTCTTTACTTGCATTGTTAAATTGTCCACATCAAATATAAATACAATATATACTTCACTACATGCAAAGCATTCAATGAAAATTAAAGGCAACCAAAATTAAAAGACCCTATCAAATGTGCTGCTAGTAACACTGGGCTGATTAGTAGCCCCCACACGAGACTGTCCAGCAGCTGGTGGTTGCACTTGGCCTCTGCCACGATGTGGAGGTGCCAAGAACTCAAACATTGATGTATTGACTGAGCTTAAGGTGCGTGTCAAGTCAGATGGCAAGGGGTCACTCCAAAAGAAGTCATGGTTCAAAGCCGTATCTGCATCAATTCTTTGACCAGGATCAATAGTCAAAAACTTATCGATTAAATCAAGAGCAAGAGGATCCTTCACATAGCTTCTTAATCTTTCTTTCACTCGTCTTTTCTGACTTGGAGGTAAGACAATTTTACTAAATAGGTCCAGTTTCTCTACCCCTGGCCATACATCAGCAGCAATGGAGCCACACAAGTGACTTATCAGGTTTAACTGGTCTTGTTCAGTATTCCCTTGCATAATAGGGGCTCGTGTCCATAGCTCTGCCATAATGCAACCTGCTCCCCACAGATCAATGGGAGGACCATAGTTTCTTTCTCCTAACAAAAGCTCTGGTGGTCTGTACCAAAGAGTTACTACTCTATTGGTGTAACGCTGGGTCTGCTCCTTGTTCAGGTGAATAGCACGTGCTAGACCAAAATCAGCTAACTTCAGAACACCATTCTTAGTTATGAGGACATTTGCAGCCTTCATATCTCGGTGCAGGATTTTATTACTGTGTATGAAGTACAGTGCATTCAGCAACATCTGGGTAAGTTTTTTCATCTCTGACAAAGAGAACTTGATCTGACGGTTGCTAAGAAGGCCAGCTAAGTCATGCTCTCAAAACTCAAAAACAAGGTATATACTTCCTTTATTCCGATTGTAAGGAGAGGCTAGAAGTCAAAACAAAAAAATGAGTAAATGTTAAATTACTGTCAAGTCTTAGAAATAGAACTCCACAGGTTATTGATTATTAGTTGTGGATACAAAAATTAACATGCTGAAAAAGAAACCGTTTGAAAATTTCTTTATTAGCAGAAAACTTTTTAGAAACAAGCTACCCTACTTCTACAGTATTGTCTATCCTAACATCACCATTAATTAAGAACAGCAAGTGATTCATACTTATAATGAGGAAATTTGTTGACATTGATTACCCTGATAAATATTACCCTGTTTAGCCCTCAATAATGATGGGTACAGTACCAGATAAACATTTTAAACTATTTCAGGCCGAACTCTAAAATATTTTCAGTGACAATAAATTACAAATCTTCGAAATAGTGTGTCTTAATCTCTATAAAACCACACGACTTCCGCGTAAAGTATAAAAAGACGCAGTAAACATTACATAACAGGTCAAACGACAGAAAATGGACTTTTCTGGTGTAAAAACTAGTTATGTTCCTTTGAAAAGAAAGAGATGTGCGCGAAATAAGATTAGCATTGTCATTAACACTTCGACTACGTCGTCACTTCCATAAAAAGCAAAATGGTTCTAAGCTAGACCTTTTTCAACATCCAGTTGGAGAGCAACGTAAACTTTAACTCACCTTTCGTTCGACAAATTTCCAACAGGTTGACCACGTTTTCGTGTTTCAGCAACTGAAGTATCTTAATCTCTCTGAGGGCGGTGATCGGGAACTGAACGGTGGTGCAAAAAACACCAAAAGTTCAGTGACTAGAAAACGAGCACGGAAACTACTACATTTAGCAAATCACTCATTTACAACAACATTAGGTATTATACCCCTTCTTTCTCGTTGTCCATGAGGACCTTCTTGAGGGCAACGATTTCTTTAAGATTCTTTCGGTTGCGTGCCTTGAACACCTCGCTGCAAAATAATTCTTAAAATAAACGACAAAGTCGAACTATCAAAATGGCGGACAGGAGCAGTTAACAAACCCAAAGGTTCCTTGGCCAATTTTAACCATCCTTTCGTATTTGTTGACATCATGGCAGAAAGGGTAGTCCAAGAGATCTTTACTCATTACAATTACGCGATAAACGAGGTTTGAAAATGGTGTTTTGGCAAAGAAAAGACAATCGCGTACGAAACCACGTTGTCCTCCTTACGCCGGTAAAATGAAGGTCACAGGAAGCGAGATTCCCGGATGGGAAGAACCAAAAAAATTCCTTCCCAGAAGTCAACATGCTCATCTTTAAAATGGCGCCCTGTGACGTCATCGACTTAAGATTCGCATTTCCCGAGAAACGCGTGGAAAATTTCTGACGAAATCTCCATTTTCACCCTCTAACTTTGTATTTCCATTCGTAATCTTGCTCAAGTTTGACAATCGAGTCACACAACGACTCATCTCTCGACAAAAACTGCGCCTCCCCACGAAGTGTTCCTCTCTGCATTACGAACCACGACAAATCGTTCTTGTTGAGAAAAGGTGCCGTATTTCTCCTCATATTTCCCTGGAAATAATGTTGAAGTAGATGTCAATCTTAAAATTGCAAGATTGCAATAGAAATATTTTCCATCGCAGCGATCTCAGATAAACGAACACCTTTGTAACTGAAATGATAAAGAAAATTCCAGTTTATATACTTAGAGGGAGCCCTGGGATTTCTGGGACTTCAATAAACCTTTGCATTGTGGGAAACCCGTTATAAACTCTCTTTCTAAAATTCACATGAAAGGCGAATGACCGTCGTAAACAACACAGAAATGTGGCAGTTTCTGTTCCTGTTATTAGGTCTCTTAATATTTTTACTCGGTTTCATTTTTCTGTACAGGAAATCGCGAAGTTTCCGTTTTTACATAAAGTATCTTGGCTTCAACTTTGTGATCATGTTATCCGCCATCCACTGGACGTGGGTTGGTTTGTTCCATCCATTTGATGTAGACAACTTTCATCGTTGCTCCGGAATTTTGTACAATTTCCTCGTCAGAGCCTACTCAATACGCGTTAAAATTGAAGGACGTGAGATCTTTGATACTCTAAAAAAGAAGAATTTCATCATTGTAGCTAACCATCAAAGTTCGCTTGACGTCTTTACGCTTCTACAGGCAACACCCCGTAGAACCACGTTCCTGGCGAAAAAGGAATTACTGTTTGCACCTCTATTTGGATTTGCAGCCTGGCTTTTTGGAATAGTGTTTGTTAATAGATCTAACGCCAAGAGTGCAAGAAATGTCATGGATAAAACAGTAAAACTGATGCGAGATAAAAAGGTAAGGTAATATTAGTGGTCGCTGTAGTGCTCAAAAAAGGGGGGGTCTGGGTACAAACTTCAATTGGCATACTCAAGGTCGAGACACTCGCCGAGAAAGTAATTTGAAATGAGACAGTGATAAATCAACTGGAAAGTGTGAGATCCAAAAGGCCAGTGACTGTGACAAAGGAAATTAGAGCTCTCTTGATATTCTTTTGAGTGGACTGCTAGTGGACAACTTCCTTAGTGTTTGACACCACAAACTTTGAATGAAAGAAATGCAGATACAAACAGAGTCCCCTATACCCCTTGCAGTGTCTTTGTGTTGTGATTTTGGGCAAGACATTTCACTCTCAAAGTACTTTTCACTGTTCATGATTACCATCAAATAGGTGCTGGCAAACATTAAGGGAAGCCTGACAAATTGTTGAGGAAGGGGGGTGGTAACCTGCTATGGATAAGCATCCTGGTCAGGGGGAGCAGCAATAGTTTTAGCTGTATAATGTGCTAGAAACTAAGATCTATGTAACCTCCAGCATATTGAGCTGTTTTCCAAGTATTCTGCTCACTGAACACAAGTTTTACACTGTTATTATTTTATTTTTAACCTGCTAGAATCTTAATAGTAAATGATGCAAACCATTAAATATCAGATCTTCTCATATAATTTTCAGATTAATCTTTGGATTTTTCCTGAGGGAACAAGAAGCCAGACTGGTACTCTTCTCCCATTTAAGAAAGGTGCCTTCCATCTTGCCGTACAGGCACAGGTAGGTTGTCTGGATTCTCATTAATGTTCATTACAACATATGAAGTTGAAAACAGTGTTGAAATGAGTAACTACCTTTTGTGATCACATGAAGGGGTAACAAACAACACACAACATGGATGATGTCAGCAGAAAGAAACTAGGAGGCATGGCAGGACAATAATTCAGGCCCATTCCATAGTTTGGTGTTTCTCATATTGGGAAGTTAGCCACTACTTGCTAATATTCTTCTGTTGGTTATGATGTTTATCAATTAAGAATAATTTATAGTCAAGGTAAGCTTGATTGCTGAGAAGGACAATTAAGATCTTCATTCATTGATCATACTGGATATGTTAGTGTAGTGTGAAAAATTACCTAAAGTATTTTATGGAACTTCAGAATGAAATCATCCTCTGTGTTTTGTTTCAGCTCCCTATTGTTCCTATTGTAATCCAGGATTACTCTTCAATTTTCAACAAGAAAAACAAAGCATTTGAACACGGTAAGTTTTAGGTACCCTATTTCTTTTATGACTGAGAAAACAAATAAGACGCGAACATATCTCAGAGTGCATTAAGAAAGCGAACAAGCGCCTTTATTTTATTGTTCTTCTAAAGCGCGCCAACATTCCACTGAGTGACATTATAAATAATTATTGCACCGTGATAAGATCTGTTTTAGAGTACTGTGCGCCAGTTTTCCATCACGCACTCCCACAGTATCTTAGCGACGACATTGAATGAGTGCAAAAGAGAGTGCTCTCCATCATTTGTCCTTATGCGTCATATTTCGAATGTTTGGCCAGATTCAACTTAGTAACCTTGCACGCAAGACGCGTGGCTCTGTGTAGCAAGCTTTTCGAGTCTATCACGTCATGCCCGCATTACAAACTCGTGCCTGTCTTACCTCTTAAGAGAGAACACAGATATAATCTAAGACAGTCCAGGGCTTATGCCATGCCCCGTACACATACAAATCGTTTTAAGAACACTTTTATTCTGGGTATGTGTACATAAATTTCAATTTTTTTTTTT